TAGCCTTCCACAGAAAGTGGTATGGCTGTAAGAATTTACCAGTACCAGATCTCCAAGAAGTTCTCAAGGGAGTGCTATATCAGGAAAATTAAATATAGACACACAGAAATAAGAGTTCAAAAACTAAGAAAATGGCCAACTTAATCATAGGGACAAGACTGGAGCTGAATATTATAATCCCAGAATTCAATCAGGAAGATCAAACCACAACAGAAGACAGATTAAGTACATGAGACTGAACTGGTGAAATAGTGTTCTATGACATTTGACTAAAATATTGCTGCTTTTTTTCTAGGTTTTGTTGACCAGTTTTAAGGGTTTTTGTCCTGTCTTGAGCTATTGACAGGTTCATGTACTTACTATTTGAACAGAATCCTAACCTGTTTCCTGGCTTTAAGTTTTAAGCAAAGTTCCTTACCATTTCAAAACTGTTTTTCTTGAAATTACCAGCTGGACCTGTTATTGAAAGTAGTTAGATTATTTAAGAATTTGTGTGATCAATAATATGTGAGGGGTAAAGTAATGGAAGACCACCATAGACACCAGAGATAGTGTGAGAAGAGGGTGGGAAAGGACAGAGGATCAAACATAGGGCTCAGTATACATGCGTGATTAAGCTACTATGCAGTATATTCTGGGTGGGAGACCACATTTTGTATGCTGTGACAATGCTTAGGGAATGAATGTAAGTTAATTAATTAAAAAATAAGTTTTAGGGTTAAAAAAAGAACACGAGCACTGTTTTTCTTGAAATTAAAAAAATTGCATTAGAAATACCTATTTAATGGCTGCAGTAAGCTATATAGCCCCAGCTAGGTGCTACTTTATAGTATGTTCATTCTACTCACCGAGTTTTATGTCTAAAGTCAGATTTGTGTTCATGGATATGTATATATCTGCTGTGCTTGCTATTTGAAATATTTAGATTAATTAAGATCTTTAGTGAATCAATGAAGTGTGTGTGTGTGTGTGGGGGCAATTATATTTCTTTTTGTCTATGAAGAAACAAATCAGAAATAGAAACAAGGTATGGAAGAGTGTTTAGACTTTGTAATGGGACAATTCAGTGCTTTTGCATACTAAAAACAGGGTTTACTCCCCTAGGGAAAAAATTGTAGTAAACCCATTGGAAGTGTCTATTACCCTTGTATCTGATACTTCTGATCCTAGATATCTATGCTAGAGATGACTGCAAGGAGGTCTGTTCAAAGATTTCCACTGCAGCATTGCCATTTTATAAAACAGCAAAAATTTGGAAATGACCTAGCCTTCCACAGAAAGTGGTATGGCTGTAAGAATTTACCAGTACCAGATCTCCAAGAAGTTCTCAAGGGAGTGCTATATCAGGAAAATTAAATATAGACACACAGAAATAAGAGTTCAAAAACTAAGAAAATGGCCAACTTAATCATAGGGACAAGACTGGAGCTGAATATTATAATCCCAGAATTCAATCAGGAAGATCAAACCACAACAGAAGACAGATTAAGTACATGAGACTGAACTGGTGAAATAGTGTTCTATGACATTTGACTAAAATATTGCTGCTTTTTTTCTAGGTTTTGTTGACCAGTTTTAAGGGTTTTTGTCCTGTCTTGAGCTATTGACAGGTTCATGTACTTACTATTTGAACAGAATCCTAACCTGTTTCCTGGCTTTAAGTTTTAAGCAAAGTTCCTTACCATTTCAAAACTGTTTTTCTTGAAATTACCAGCTGGACCTGTTATTGAAAGTAGTTAGATTATTTAAGAATTTGTGTGATCAATAATATGTGAGGGGTAAAGTAATGGAAGACCACCATAGACACCAGAGATAGTGTGAGAAGAGGGTGGGAAAGGACAGAGGATCAAACATAGGGCTCAGTATACATGCGTGATTAAGCTACTATGCAGTATATTCTGGGTGGGAGACCACATTTTGTATGCTGTGACAATGCTTAGGGAATGAATGTAAGTTAATTAATTAAAAAATAAGTTTTAGGGTTAAAAAAAGAACACGAGCACTGTTTTTCTTGAAATTAAAAAAATTGCATTAGAAATACCTATTTAATGGCTGCAGTAAGCTATATAGCCCCAGCTAGGTGCTACTTTATAGTATGTTCATTCTACTCACCGAGTTTTATGTCTAAAGTCAGATTTGTGTTCATGGATATGTATATATCTGCTGTGCTTGCTATTTGAAATATTTAGATTAATTAAGATCTTTAGTGAATCAATGAAGTGTGTGTGTGTGTGTGGGGGCAATTATATTTCTTTTTGTCTATGAAGAAACAAATCAGAAATAGAAACAAGGTATGGAAGAGTGTTTAGACTTTGTAATGGGACAATTCAGTGCTTTTGCATACTAAAAACAGGGTTTACTCCCCTAGGGAAAAAATTGTAGTAAACCCATTGTTAGAGTGCAGGGATCTATGGTTTTAAAGAAAAAAATATTTTAACTCTCAACCCTTTTTTACAACTCAGTTTGCAGATAGTTCCAAATCTCTTCCTAACCCCCTCTCTACCCCCCATAGATTTTTGTCCCTATATTTCTCCCAAGTAGATCTTGCCTAGTGTGGAGATGACATATATATATGCACTTAAGAATTTATTTTTGGAAAAGAAAACTAGAAAAGGTAACTATTTTTATATATACATGTACATGCTCTGAGTATGCACAAAAAATGTTAAGAAAGACAATAGCAGTACTGAGAGAGCATCAGGAAGGCTTTTGTTTGTCTGTAATGTGTGCATGTTGTTTAAGAATGCATTCATTTATTTCTTTTCCTCTTTATGCAAGCAATAATCTTTATTACTAAACTTTATTACTTCAACATACAGTTTTTTTTGTTAAAACTATTTTATTTACTTATTCATTTATTTCTTGCAGAATCATTTTTTCTGGGCTAGCCACATGACTTGAAAAACATGCCAGGTCCTGTGGTTAAGGGGACCAGCTTCTGCATGGTTGGCTGTGGTTTGAATGCTGGCCTTGGTGGCTTTAAAAACACACTCAGCATGCATGCATGCATGCCTAAAATACTGACTGAAAAGAGAAATGGGGAAGGAATTGCAGTGTGACCATACCCACTGAGGAGTGCTTTCTCCTCTTCTACCTTTCTGCGTGTGTGTGTGCGTGTGTGTGCATGTGTGTGTCTTTGTCTGGCTAATGCAAATGCCTTCTAGCAATTAAAAAAAAATCTTCTAAAATGTTTCCTGGTTGTAGATCAGAGTAAACAGTATGGGCTTTGGCGCCTATACTCTTGGTGCCTATACTTGGTGAGCATGGCTTTGCTGGGAGGCAGTGTAGGTAAGTGGGTGAAGCAAAAAGATGAGAAATCTCAAAAGACCCAGGTGGTAGCTCAGAATCTGTCATCAATACGCTGTGTGACCTTGGGAAGTAATTTTCTTTCTGAGTCTATTTCCTTTGTACAATCAATGGTTAAGATGAGAAGCTGACTAAGATACTTTCCCTTTTTGATATTTTATGATTCTCAAAATCCATGTCTTTAATATATAATGTGTCTGGTCTTTTTTTTGATGAAGAGATAGCTTTTTATTCTTTTCCTTCAAATTCTGGCATAGTTTGACATTTTATTCTACTGCAAATGGAACATAATGAAAGAGAAGGTGGAGCGGTCACTGTGTTCTGTTTGTCTATGTTCTTGAAGGTTTGGTTGACCTATTTATGCTACTATCTTCTTTAGACAGTGTAAGCTCTTAGGCTTGCTGGAGTCTGATGAGCATGCAAACAGAATTCTGGAAGTTTGAAGGTCTGAATTCTATAGAGTGGCCATGAATTCAGGAAACACAGATCATACACACACACACACACACACACACACACACACACACACACACGTATTTAAAATGTTTACAGAAAATGCAATTAAAGAATGAGTATATTTTAGTGCAAAAGTTTTTGAAATCCACACATAGTTTTTTCATATTATTCATTTGCCAAGAACTTCTTTAATATTCACCCCTCTTATATATAATTTTTTTAATAAATGAAACCCACTTGGCTACTTTTTCTGAGTTATGCTGAAGATCTAGGCTTATTTAGTAAAAATCATAGGTATGAATCATCAGGAGCTATGCATATACAGGATGTGATGGAAACACTGTGTCAATGCACTGTGTTCATTGCAGTTTGCACAATCTGAGCTCTGCATTGCTAATAAAGGACAGTACATTGACTATGTCACAATGTTCTTAAATATATCCTGTTTTACTGTAATATCTATAAACTATTCTTTATATATAGTCAGCCATAATTTTGGACTTTATGGCTATCCAGTATTCTTTTATTTATTTATTTTTAATTTCCCAGAGGGCATGTGTACTTGCCAGAGAGATATAGATGGATATATATAGAGAGAAACAGGGAGAAAGCATTCCCCATTGCAGCATGGTCACATTGCAATCCCTTCTCCATCCTTTCAGGATTTGAGGAATTCATGAGCATACATGCACATGCACCTGGAGAGTTTATTAGGCCACTAAGTTTGAAACATAGTCAGCCATGTTTGATTCAGCTCCCTACCAGGCCATGGGCTGGCCTCAGCTACCCAGTACTCTTGATTCTGTCACTTACAAGCTGTGTGATTTTGTACAAGTCACATCCTAGTCCGTAGATATCAATTGGGCCACCTGTTCCCCAGAGTAGTAGAGAAGAAACAAGTGGATATAAAGGAGCTATGAACATTTACACATATCCACAAACATTATCACAATCTGGTTCTGTACAACCTAACTGGCTTCTGGAAATACTCCAGAAGAAGCCTTGAGGAAACCTTGGCATTATTTCAATAAAGGAAACTTCTTCTTGGCCCCTCAGAGATTTTGACCAGTCTAGTTCTACCTATCATTAATTAGCAGTGCTATTTGCAGCTGATCTTCATCACTTTGCTTGTTACATGAGTTCATAAGAGTAAATTCTAAGCAATTTAATTGTCAAGAAAACAGATAAGAGTTTCTGTGACTCTGTTTTTCAACAATGAAACAAAGAACTTACTCTTGTTCCTTTCTCAGGAAAGCATTTGCAGACCCCACTGCAGTCTTGTCCCCCACATGGCTTTCCATAGGATTTCTTCTCTCCCTATTAAAACAAAACAAAACAAAACAAAAACAAAAAGGGAAAAAGTTAGCAAACCACATGAACCAAGAAGCAATGTTGCCCCAGAGAACCTAACACTTAACGATATTACTGACCTGATTGGATAGTGTCATGAGTCAAATACACTAAACACTTATCTGAAGCTACCATCCTTTTAGTTTAGGTGCATACTTCACTGAATAGTCAGATTGAAAGCTGTTTTGGGAACTGAATTTTAGATACCCCCTCATTGATGGAAATTCCAGGCATGAAATACTAAAGAGTTTCTTTATGTGGGGCTAGAAATAGATCCTTGACATATATTTGTGTAAAATCAAAGGCCCAGTGGGTTATGGATTTGTACTCTTGAGAAAGCAGTACATGTAGAAGAGAGCTTAAGAGAAATTCAAGTGCTAGAAATGTAGTGACAGATGAAAAGGACCACCCTGTATTCTGCTCTCAGAACTGTTCCTCTCAGGCTCCATTTCCAGCACTCAATTTGTACAGTGATGCCTCTGTGCCCAGTCAGATCCCACTTTCTCAAGAAGTATCATACTGAGTCCTCCATGCTCTTCAACTTCATTTTTACTCTTCTCTGCTTTGAATTTATGTAAGATCCCCACATGACCTGACATATGCTGATCCTCTTCAATCTCATCTCCTCACTCTCTCTCTGACTTTCTCTGCTTCAATAGCATGGGCAGGTGCTCATTCGTGTGTGTGTGTGTGTGTGTGTGTGTGTGTGTGTGTCTGGTGTTTTTAGATGGGGTTTTGCTGTATCACAATCCTCCTGCCTCTGGCTCCTGATTAGCTGGGGCAATATGTGCATGCCTTGTGTCTGACTTTTAGGATGGGCTCCATGTGGCCTTGGCCTGTTGAATAGCAATGTCCAACACGTGCTACTACACCAGGGCCTCATTCTATTCTTTAAAAATACAAATCCTGTTTCTGCCTCAGAGCTTCTTTCCTGTACTCCTTTATGAAATGTTTTTCCCCTATTTGTTTTTAAAATTGCTGGCCTCTTTTCATTATACACGTTTCAGTTCAATTGTCCATTCTCAGACAGTTACATCCAATCATATCACCTTGCCATCTTTTTTCATCATTAAAAATGTTGTCTCCTCTCACTAGAATGTCAGTACCATGTAAGTAGAAACCTTAACTACCTTGTCAACATTGTATCCCTAATGCTTAAAACAGTGGAAGGCACTCAAGGAATGGTTTGGTGACTACATGAATAGAGCTAGGATTTCAACCCAAGTATAACTCCAAAGTCTTGACCAGTCCTCTTATGTCTTAATATTTTCTTTTGAGGTTTTTATTTCTTCCATGGGGGGAAGGGAGTGGAGAGAGAAAGAGAGAGAGAGAAAGAGATATCAAGAGAGATACAGTACCCTCAATAGGGTTCTGATGCCATGACCCACCCCCAGCCTCAGCCAGCCCCAGATCATGGGCACATGCATGCCTACAATACTCAGAGAGGTCTCCAGACACGAACTCAGAACTTCCTTATGTGGGTCAGTCTCACTAGAATTGCTTTTTACTGCTGTACAAACAGTCAGCCTCAGTATTTCTAAGTCTTCTATCTACCAGACTCTCAGTACAAGACTCAAAAATGAGGAAAAATGCCATACTGACCATATCCACCTTGGAGAAAAAAAAGCAAAACATAAATTCTAACTATTATTGGTAACAAGAACTTTATCTTTGGGATGGATTTAGCATCATCCAACTTTTTTGTTTAATGTTGCTTGTTTTTTCCAAAGAGAAAGGCATATTTGGGACTAGCAGTTAGTGTAATGGCTATATCACTGGACTCCCATGTAGTCAACCGTAGTTGGAGTCCCGGATCTGGTGACTTAAACTCACACTGGGCGCGTGTGCGTGCGTGCCCAAGATCCCGAGAGGAGAATGGAGGAGAAGGGATTGCAGCATGGCCATCTCCCCCCGGGGGGGGTGATTTCTTGGCTTCTGTCTCTCTGTCTCTCTCTTTCTGGTGAGCACATGCGCCCTACAGGAGAAAACCTCTACAAAAGAGAGAGAAAGGCATGTAAGGCATAAATATGAGCCAGCCTCATACTTAATCATTCTAGCCTCTGTGTAGCATGCCTTTCCTTAATCCCTGGGTGGGGGGCGGGAGGGCACTGTGAATTTCTCAGATGGCCTCTTATCTCTTTAGACATTCCCACAGCAGTTTATCACTGTAGCACCTCAGTAATAAGGTAGTGATGGCAGAGCTATGACAGAATACTGCTATTTTTAGATTCCAAACACCTTCATGATATATTTTATCTCTCTTATATGTCTTTGACATGGTAAGTGCTATATACACTTTCCAGTTTGCCCTCCATTTTATGGTCTATAGGACTGGTGAGTTTTCTTAAGGGTGAGATCAAGAGGTGCTCTGGAAGGAGAAAGCTAGGGGAGGGCATAGAATAGAGAACAGAGAGACAGAGCAGCCCTGAATTTTATCTTCATCTATGCTGTCACTCTGTCTAATGTTGAGTACTCTATTTCTTCAGAGTGTAGATAATTTGCATTTGCTCCTCCACACCTTTCTGTCTTTTCCAACCAGTTCTCAATGAGCATGTGTAACTAGTAGAGACAAAAAAAATACCTATTATTAAATGATAAAATTCATCCGTTTCATTGGAGAGGACCCAACAGGTGTTGTTAAAGTTGAAAAGGCATCTATTTGGAGCTATGGTCTACTTCTAAATAGTGTCTATTTGGGTGTCTCATAAAATTGGTCTATTGTAGGCCCAAAGTTTCCAGATCTTTAGCATGAAGCAAGGAGGCTGGGGGCAAGGAGGCTGGATAAGACAGGAAAAAATCTCAATAACAGTAGCTGAGCAAAAATATGAGGAAGAGAAGCTAGGGTTTCTCAGGAACTTACTAGAACAAGGAGGCATAGACAGACAGCTAACCAACAGGAAGCCATCACTGTCCTCTGTCACCACGGAAAGTAACAAGAGAAGCTCCATTGGCCACAGGCAATTTCCTGTAATGCTGACCCTGGCAGTTTCCCCAGGAGTCTTCAATTACAGTGGAATGGGAGGGGTGAAAGGAGTAGCCTCCAGGGAATGTGACTAGAACAGGCCCTGAGGAAGCCTTTGCCCTACTCTGGCTTGTCTGGGGACACAGTATCCCTGTTCAACCAGTCCACCAGTAGTGTCATTCCTACCCTGGAATACTTTCCCTTGCTCACAAAATCCAAACCTTCCTTACTACCACAGAAAATTAAAACTGGAAATGTACTGGATGACCAAATATAGTGGTTCTTAATTTTATCAGACCAACCCATCATTTTTTGTTACATTTATTTATCACTCTTGCTTGCTATCTTGAAAACAAATTCATAGGAATAAATCATCAAAGAAATATAAGCAATAATTGCGAAAGCACGTATTATGTCCTCATTGTATTATCAAGAAAAAAGTCATTTATAATAAAATAATATGCATTTCAATATGTAAAAGCTCATACAGGGCTATATTAGAAAATGTAGTGACATAGAGGCTAGCAGCTTTACACAGAATCTTCAACATGTGACAGACTGCTGACGCAAAACGACACTGGCCTGTGGTACTGAAGACTTAAGTATCACAAATGTAGTTGCTATGAGTGCAGTGATTATCTGTAATAATCCATGGTAATGTTCTGAGAACAAAATAAAGTATAACACCCTTTTATTTACTAGGTAGTTTTAAGCAGTAACAATAAAACCTTGAAAAAAATCATTTTGACATGTGAAATGTGGTTATGTTCTAGATTCAGATAATTTATAAACAACATTTTCACCTCTGTGAATGTTCAGAAGTCTTCTAAATGTAGGGCAGGATGCAGGACAAGTCATCATAATATACATAAGATCTATATTTTCTGGCCTCCACCTGTAATTGTCTTCTGCCCAATCATTTTGAAAACCAAAAATGGCTTCAAGATTTCTCAAATACCCCCCAGAATGGGATATTTCTTTTCATCTTATTTTATTGTTTTGGTTTTTGCCACAGGGCACTTGCACTTGCTGGAGAAAGACAGACAGAGACAGAGAGAGGGAACGTGAGAAATCATCTTCCAGGGACAATAGCCATGCTACAATCTTCTTCATTCTCCTCTTGGTATTTTTGGGCAAGCACGTTTATGCACCCAGCATGACTTTCAAGTTGCTGCGTCTGGGACTTGAACCATGGTTGGCCATATGGGAATCCAGTGCCTTAATCACCACACAACCTGCTCACCCCATGGGTTGGGGTGTTTCTGTTAACCACTAGTCTAGGAGCCAGCAGGTGATGTGGTGCTTATAGCAATGGACTCCCACATGGTTGACCATGGTTCAAGTCCTGGATCTGGTGGCTTGAAAATCAAACCAGGTTGTGTGCATGCATGCCCAAAATCTCAGGAGGAGAAGGGAGGTGTAGGGATTGCAGTGTGGCCATCGCCCTGGGGGTGATTTCTCACATTCTCTTTCACTGTCTCTCTCTCTGGCTAGTGCACATGTTGTGCAGCAAAAACTTTTAAAAACAAGCAAACCAACAAAAAAATCACTGATCTAATCCAAATCACCCATTTTACAGATGAGAACACTAGGAAATTATTTTGGCCTGGGATATACTGCACTTCTGACTCTAATGCCATATTCCTCCCACTGTTTCGTATCTCTCCAGGCTAACTTCAAGTTCCATTTCTTCTAGCTTTAGTGAAAAGCTACTGTGCTCACTAAATGTTCCAGTCATTGGGCAAATGTTACATGCTGTTATAGAACAGTCTCTGCAATGTTCCTTAGGTTGTGTAGCTGAGAGTCTTATTTCCTCATCCAGATAATAATGTCTATAAGGAAAATATTGACCAATTTTACCTATCTCTCTACAGTGTTAAAGAGAAAAACCTATGTTCTAGGTACTAATGGAGGCAGTATAAGTTCTGGAGTTAGTCCGTACAGGTTTGGATTCTAGCTCTAATATTTTCAAGTCAATGACCTTAGGCAAGTAACTTTCATTTCT